GTATACATTTAACCAGTCAGACATGTTCAAACACTTGTAATGTAATTGTTTTAAAAACTGTCAAAGGGAGAATTATTGTAAAGTGTAATACAGTACACTATTTATTAATGACAAATACATAATTGTATTTGTCATTAATAAACTCAATTGAACCCAGAGGAGATTCAGTTATTTCTAACTATTTTATGGCCACACCAAAGACAACAAACTAAAAAAAAAACAATCTACTCCCATCTATAAGGGGAGCCTTATTGTAAAGTGGTAACTTTACAGTAAGGCTCCCCTTGTATATAGCTTTTAAATAGTTTATAGATAGATTATTAATTCATCTGTAAAAACTTTTAAATTATTAACAAGTGTTTTTATGCATTAATCAAGGTCAATGAAGAGACTAAGCTGTCTGGTTTCTTTTCAAATCAAGCCAAATCTGTTCGGGTATTAAAACATTTCAGACAACAATGATTAGGAAACACATATTTTAACATATAATATTGTACTGTATGACTGCATTATAAATATCCACAAATATTAAAGGGATACTTATTGTAAAGTGTAAAACTGTACACTATTTTGGATGGGGTGACTACTTGGTATGTTAACATAATGTTTTCTTTTGATACATCAACATTGTTGACAGTGGTTACATGTTTGAACAATAATTTCAAATATTGATAATGGACACAAAGTTTTAAAAATGATAATTTTTCACATTAAAGACTAACCTTTGGCATTTATAAATATTTATTTGTCATTAATAAATACTGTACTGTATTACACTTTACAATAATTCTCCCTTTGACAGTTGTGAATATTTATAATGCAGCAATACAGTACAATATTAATATGTTAAAATATGTGTTTATTATTGTGCTTACAATGTAGTGACCTAGTCAGAAATGTTTAATATAGCACCTTTAGATACGTGAACAAATTTGTTTCACTATTTGGTAAGAAACTGGACAGTTTTGTCTTTCTCAACCTTAATTATTGCATAATGAACATTTGTTAATGGTTTATAAGGTGTTTACAGATAAATTAATAACCTATCTTTAAACTCTTTATAAGCCATCTATAAGGGGAGCCTTATTGTAAAGTGGTACCAAAAAAGGCTTGCACAGAAAATTCTCCTTACCAGTTTTTCATACATTTTACTCTACATAGAATTTTTTTCTCAAACACACATGTGAGAAAATCCAACCATCATTTGTCAGTTGAAAAACTTATTTTTTTTGCAGGATTTTTCAAAATTTTCTTAAGAAGAGAAGAAGAATTCTGTAAGCTTGATTCATTCTAGACTTTACTATTTGACTCTTTAGCACAACTAGTGTTTGAAAAGGGAACTGCATCCACCATCATCACTCCCAGGTAAAGGACAGATGAGTGCCAGGACAGGGGCACTTCAAGGGGGCCAATCAGATTTCATCTGGTGCCAATGCCCCTGTGGCCCCGCCCCTAGAACAGCCCCTGATGGGCAGAGAGCCCTGAAAGGAAGGATCGGGCAAAAGATAATAGATGGATGGAAGGATTTTCCAACAATGTTACCTTATTTGTTGAAAATTTTTGAAAATGCTTTTAACTTTTTTATATATTTAAAACAGTACCTTTAAAATGCTCTAAAATCTTTAAGTCATTATTAAATTTTGTGCATAATAATGAGTATGATCATAATTAAAATTTGCCCAGATGTAGTGTAATCATAATTACAACAATAGCCATGTTTCTATTAACTTTTATTAATGCACATTTTGAATAATCGTTTTAGAAAAGTAAAAATCACATGAAAACCTCACTTTGTGGTCACACCTCTGGAGGCGGTACCTTTTACATCAGACATTGGAATGTAAAACAAACTTTGCTTATGCAAAAAGAAGGACCTCATATTGATAAGACACACGACTGTTCATAACATATAACTGCAATGAGTGTCAAATACAAGACTGTATTTTAAATTCAGTTAATAATACACATAATTTCCTTTAATTGTGTTGCATTAGAGGAAGGCTTTCACACACCTTTTATGCTAGCCTGGTAAAAACCAGACCCTTGTCCTTCGCTTTGCTTCGTACGAGGGCCTGGACTCGCGACTATAGAGAAGCAATTCTTGCTGGAGGCGTGGCCTCTGCTGAAGTGTGTTTGTCGCTGTGAAGGAGGCTAAGCTGAGAAGCTAACCGGAAATCGCGAGCGCTGTAAACAACCCTACTGAGAGGAGGAACGTACCGAGCCGAACAAGACGACTGTAAATGAGAGCTGCTGGTTTGTCAGACAAATTTTATTTAATTTGGAAGCCTTATCAACATGGACTGGCTTCATTCACTTCCTCCACTGCCATCGCTAACCAACAAGCTGCACAGAAAATCGACGTCATTCGAAACCCGGCCTTCTGTTTGTTGATTGGCCCAGGTAAAATAAACTACAAGCAGACACTGTGCAGAAAATCAACAAAGTTCAAAACTCCGCCTTCTGTTTGTTGATTGGCCCAGGTAAAATAAACTACAAGCAGACACTGTGCAGAAAATCGACGTTCTGTTCTCTGATCGGTTCGGCTAAAATGGGAGAAGTCCCAGACGGAGCAGAGAAGCGAAAGTAGAATTGAGCAGAGCTGCGAAGGAAGGCAAGGGCCAGGCTTCTTTTATGCTGCAGATTCTTGTAAAAATAGAAAAGGGGAACTTGATTTTCATTCATCACTTCTGCATTTGGACAAAGTATATATTTTATACTATTTAAGTATAATATGCTATTTATCTGAAGTGGTTACTGTTAAACCTTTTATAAAAGTTAAAATCAGTCCCACCATAATAATTTGTCTTCCCAACAAACAACAGAAGTCCAAGTAACATGTAGACTCAACTTTATTATTTACAACAATGGCCAAAACAATCAAAATCATTTTTTTCTTTAAAGCTGACAGCTAAATGGTTAATTCATATTACAGTATATCTTATAAGTGTACTTGTCCTTCAACATATTTTAAAAACTGCTGCATAAAAAATGAGGATTTATGTGTGTGACCACCTTCAATGAGTGCTACTGTCTTTTATAATAAACACATTAGACTTAAAGGGGAAGCGAGCAAGTGTTAAAGTGATAAGTCAGTGAAAAATATGTCACTGATGAAGATGGGCCTAAGATGTTACAGAGCAAAAACTTTATTTTAGCCATTATTATTAATATTTTCTCTAATAATTAATATCATG